GTCAGATCATGTATGTGGGGAGGGGTTGGAGAAACTTCAGCTTTGGTCTCATTTAAGAGTAAAGAGGAAGTTTGACCACAACTCACAAATTTATAGACCCTTAACCAGAAGAGACTGCCACAAACAACTCAGCAGCCACACACATTTTTCTTCAAACACAGCAGCCAAAAGATAAAGGAGCTGATGTGTTACAATGGCCAAATGGAAGCCCAACCTTTAACTCGATGAAAGTACTACACTGGAAGCTAAAAGGTCCAGTCAGAAATAGACATCTGGGTTCGCTATGAATAGAACAGGGACACCAAATTCTCCAGAATAATAAATAAAACAGATTTCCGAAGACTTCATGGAAAGGCAAGGCAAGGCAAATTTATTTGTATAGCGCAATTTGGTACAAAGACAATGCAAAGTGCTTTACATGATTAAAATATAGGAAAATAAAACAGAATCAAAGCAAGTAGGAAAAAAAATTAGATTAAAAATGCAGAAACAAAAAAAGAACATTAAACATCATGCTTTCACTACTAACTGCAATTTCAGAAATATCAACCTAACGCTCATTTTTGAGGTGTAGGAATAAGCCACACTGCAAAAACAAGCTAGAAATAAGTAAACATTTCTTAAATTAAGTGTATTTACCCTTAATTTGAGTAAGATGATTTGCTAATTGAATGAGTATTTTACTCCTAAAATAAACACTTGAAATAAGACAATGCTATTTTGTTTTCTTATTCTAAATACAAATTGTCTTGTTCCATTGACAAAGTCTCTAACTCACCTCCTCAATTCAAGAACAAATGCACTTATTTTAAGAAAAAAAAAATACTTATTTAGATTTTTATTTTTTCAACTGAAGAGTACCTGCAGTTTGACTGTTCTTTCTCTGGGAGATAAAGCAGAGCCCATCATATAAAATCCAGGATCCAATCGCATTACCTTGTAGCTGTAAAGCAACAGTTCTTAGAACTGCTCCAGGGTGCAATGGATTGAAGAGTTGAAGAAGAACGAAGCTACTTGATCTAACATATGATCTGTTTTTAGGGTTTGGGTGGTTTAAATCTGAGTGGTAAATGTAATCTTCACTGACGAACTGTGGAAATATTAGGGTTTAAATATTTACATTTGTTTGTAAAATAAGACTGACTGAGGCTGAAAGAGAAAAATCAGACAGTTTCCTGACAGTCTGCAGGCAGAATCCACCTCCATCTTGCGGAAAGCAGACAGACATGTGGAAGTCAGCATGGACATAAAGCTGTCCGTCTGATTCATAGAAAACTGTAAGGCTCAGACATGCTGCATAATACACATCCATCACTACAAGAGGTGTGCAGCAAGCCTTTCATATTTACAGGCAGCACAAACTGGAACCAGACGGCTGAAAAGGAAGAGAGGAAAACGTGCCCATAAGGGATAGCTCATTTACAGATTTGTGTTGACTCATCATAGCTGTACAGTAACAATTACAGAAAAATATAATCCTTTTTTTTTTCTTAACAGGAAATTCTCTAGATTTTGTCTAAAAAGTGTTGTTGGTGACCCAAAATAGCTCCATGCTGAACTTAATTAATGTGGTTATCTGAGGAGACGTGCCTCATACAATACATGATAATGACAAGGTTGTTTATTTCATTAACTTGCTTCACTAATGGAACATTAAAGAGATCAGTTACAGTCAGACTGTTTTGAAACCTTTATTTCCAATAATTATGATTATCCACTTACAGCAAGTGAAATATTCAAGATTAGAACATCAAACCAAAAAAAAACAGCTTTAGTACAAAAACCAGAGCTTAGTGAAAAACAACAAAAGACATTTACTGAATGTGACTATTTCCATTTCAATGAGCTGGATATGTTTATATGTGCATTAAAAAAAAGCCCTTATTAAATCCTTAAAGTGGTTGTTTGCTGTTTTTAAGTAAAAGTATTGTTTATGTTTTCTTACAGGCTTCTCCTCCTGGGATTGGGTGCTGGTCTCAGCCAATCATCAGTAGCATCGCTCCCTGTGAAGAATCTTCTGAGTCTTTTGGCCCAAACACTCTCTTACCTCATTTTAAATTTTGGTCAGACTTTTTATTAACCTTACTTTTCTCTTTTTAATGTGGTTGTTGGGTCGGTTATTTTAGAGGTTTGTATATTTTATTTTCTTACAGAAGTAGACCCAATTTTCCTTTTTTTATGCACTAGGCATAATACGTCTGTATAGAAAAACACATAAAATACGTCATAAACATCTTAATACAACCTGGACTCATCAATCATTATCTAGATTTATTTTTTGGCCCCTTATATCCCCAAGTTAAGCCAGGGGATATAAAGTGCCGCTCAGTTGACCATTTTTATGTATTTGGAACAAATTCCCACTCTGAGACCAACACTCCATCACACATTTTCCTAAATGACTTGAAAACAAGTAGAAGAAAAGCGCTGTCCAGTCAGAATGCAGGCAGCTTCAGGGTCATCCTTAATTACTGCCAGGCTGCCCCCTCCACCCCCAGCTGGTGGGAACTTGGAGGATTGCACACACACAAACAGAACCTTCAGAGGAATGCAGGTTGGCATCCTGATCTGCTTCCAGCCTCCCTGCATGGACCGACTCCAGCTCTCTGCCATTATCGCCTCCAACCCCTGTGCTCTGTTTCTCTGTGTGTCAGAGAACATTTTTTTTTTTTTTATTAGGGAACTTCGCTCCCAGACTCCATTTGATATAAAAGTTCTGGCTGCCTTCCAGGAGCCCACACTGGCCATCTGCCCGACTTCACTGTGTTCACACACACCCTCAGTAAATATGTGGGTTTGAAAATGTATGGATGTAAACTTTGCCTACTGAGCACCAAACGTCTTCATGACAAAACCAATAAAAAACTGCTTCCCGGCAGAATCCTGGAAAAAAGACATCGTAAAACTTCTTTTTATCAAGTCCACTGAACTATTTAAAGTGATGAAATAACGCTTTATTGTGCAAAACCAGACTGTACTATTTTACATCAAAGTTAAATTCATTGTCTCACAAATAAAACATTAAATTTTGCCTGTCATAGCTAGTTCCCCCTGAGGAGTGCCTTTAAGAGGCATCAGGGAGAAGAATCCAATTATCAAATTGATTCCATCTGACTTCAATTTTGGATTTGGCAAGTAAACACAGAGTGTTACTGCCGTCCGTTAGGGCTGACAGCTCACAGCTGCATTCACTAGTTACAAATTCAGGACAAGACCTGTAAAGTTTAAGTGAAATAAAGCCCTAGTGTGAAAACACACACTGGTATCCATGGAGACACAGCCAAAGCAACCTTAAGTTACCAGAAGTTTCTTTAAAGGAATAGTACACCCAAAACATGATTAGCCTTCATTTTCTACTCACCTCCATGCTGAACAACACTCTGGAGTACTTTTTTGATATCTCAAATGCATCTGGAGATCTGGGAGGCTTCTTGCTGTCTGCTGACATTCAAATAATGGAGGTCCATGGCGCCCGAGACAGAAAGGTCCATAAAAGTCCACAAAAACGTGTCAATATTCCTCCATACTGCTCGTCCAATGTAATCCAAGTGTCCTGAGTGGGTAGCATCCAGAATTTACTCGAAACGAAGTCATTTAGAATGTTTTTAGAGCATAAACAGTAGTGTATAGGATTTCCTAATAGCGCCCCCATGCGCGCTCACGATTCTACGGAAGCCGGCAGACCAAACCGGAAGGAAGTGCGCATTCAGCGTCTGGTCTGCCGATAATGCAAGCGTAGAAGAAGAAATGTGCTGTTTACCTGTGCAAAGAAAGAAACAACGAAAGAAAAATGTCTGAGGACTTCAGTGTTGAGGAAGAGCATGAGTTCTTTGCCGAGCTGAATGCGCTGGTTTGGTCTGCCGGCTTCCGTAGAATCGTGAGCGCGCATGGGGGCGCTATTAGGAAATCCTATACACTACTGTTTAGGCTCTAAAACGTTCTAAATGACTTCGTTTCGAGTAAATTCTGGATGCTACCCACTCAGGACACTTGGATTACATTGGACGAGCATTATGGAGGAATATTGACAAGTTTTTGTGGACTTTTGTGGACCTTTCTGTCTCGGGCGCCATAGACCTCCATTATTTGAATGTCAGCAGACAGCAAGAAGTCTCCCAGATCTCCAGATGCATTTGAGATATCAAAAAAGTACTCCAGAGTGTTGTTCAGCATGGAGGTGAGTAGAAAATGAAGGCTAATCATGTTTTGGGTGTACTATTCCTTTAAGCTCCTCATAATTGTTTTATCTCCACTGCAGTCTTAAGGTGGTATCACAGCATTTCAATTAGTTATTGTCTGGGATTTGCAACCATTGAGACCAGGACAGGTTTTTATGTATTTACATGCGGATATTCATAAACCTATATGGTCTTTTTATTTTTTATTTTATTTTAATAGACCATGGTCCCATCTGTCCAAACATTGTTAAAGTGTTGAGGTTCTTTCAGACGCAACTTTGAGAACCAAAGTTTTGCTCCCAGATCCATTTAAAAAAGTAAAGGCAACTAAAACAGGCTTTTGTAAATTTTTCATATTCTAGTCTGTCATGAACTTGTACCATGCTTACTATAGGGGTTGAGATGGAGCACTATCTTGGGGGTGAATTTATTGGTATATCCACATCTGTAAAGAGCAGCAGTAGTGTTAAATACTATTTGATGGCGTTCATATATCTTGGAACTGGTCCCAGAATGATGGATAAATTCAGTTCCTCCTCTAATATCACTGCTGATCTATTCCCAGCTTGGTATTGTGTTATTTCAAACCTTAGTAATCTAGATCACAGATTTTACAGCTCTATGGACTGACCACTCATATAGTTAATTAATCCATATGGAACTGTATAACTTAGCAAATGTCTGTCTTAAATTATAATAAAGAATTCAGGGTGTAATAAGTAAAAAGCAGTTTTCTAAAAGAAAACGTCTATAAAGCTAAACTATCTTTGTACACTACCGCCCCCTACTGTTAGGTACAATAATGACAACAGTACTTATGGACTTGATAAACAGTTTTTTTATTGATTATATTAAATTGGAAAGATAAGCACTATAACATATGTTACAAACCAATAAACTTTTATATTTTGAGGAAAAACTCAACTGACTTAAAAAAGTAACACTAAAGGGCATAAACATTCTTTAAATAACAGAACTGTACATTTTATGTGCACCTAAAACAAAGAGACATAAAAACAAACTGGATGTTGAGACCGAGTGACAGAAAACGACCACAGGCAGCTAAAAGTGAGCTAAAGCTGAAGAGACTTGATTATCAGCTGCTGGAATAGGAAAGAGTAAGGCAACAGAAGGCAGGCGAATACAGCGGGAATCCCTTAGAAACAGCAACTTCACACCATAAAGTACCCTGACTGGATCAGGAAAATGAACAGATAAGAGCTGAAATTAGAGCCAAACCATTAAAAAAGCCTAAAGATTCGATAAAGAATCACTCATGCACAGAAAGGCCCTGCAGTCTGCTGAGAGACACCGCCTGACTGAAAACAAACACAAACTGAGCAAAAATGCTGCTTAAATGTCTTGTTTTCAGAGCCAACACAAACTGTGGACAGGGGACACATGTAATATGGTTATTTTTTTGAGGATAAAATAATTTGATCCCTCACATTGTGTAGGTTCACAAAAGACAAAATGGAAACAGAGAGCCATTTTGCACTGCATAAAAGCTGTACCTGTTCAACAGGTTTCACTTGGAAAAGGTTGCATAGGAATAAAGAGCAAACATTAAAGATTAGCTCTTTTTTTAAAGTGACACAAGGGGGCGCTCAATGCCCGACAACACTGAGCCGTTACATAATCCACTTCAGATATGAGCTCTTTAAGGGAAAAAAACAAAACAGGAGCCACAGACAAAAAAATAAAATAAAAATCTGCTTTTTCACATCAAATATGAACCAAACACGAGCTTTTACAAAAGGTCTCCTACTGATGGCTTCATTCTTCATTGGGTTAATCAGATAAAAGCGATGTAAAAATCTCAGCCTACACAATGTGAACCAATTAGTGCAAAGAGTTTAAGTGCATTTTTTACATGATGTCCGATGTCCACGGACCGCTTCAAGTGTCTCGCCCAGACTGGGCTGGCTTGTGTTGCAGGTTGCAAAGGCGCGAGGAGGGTTTCCATAAAGTTCAGTAACAAACACAAAGAGCAGAAAAGTCGTTCCACAGTAGCACAGCGCATGCCCTTATTCACAATTAGCCTTTGAGTAGTTTACAAGTCAGTACAAAATGTAAAACATATCATACACAGGATACGTAACTCTGCGACAGAAAGGTAAAAAATAATGCAGGATTCTGATGTTCTGCAGCTCGGGTTCCGGCAGGAAGGAACCCAAATATTCGTCGAAATTGCAAGAAAAAAATATAGCATTTATTCAACAAATCTCAGATCTGTCTTTATCGTCTGAATATTCAAAGCCATATTTAATTAATACAGTTTTGTCTTTGTAAACAGTTTGCCCTTTTTGTCTCATTTGAAAATACGCTCAAATCTGATTTTAGTCTTATTTATGAATATGTACATACATTTAAAAATAATCTGACACCGTATGTAAAGAAATACACTTGAAAAACTTGAATCCCTCTTTTCTTCATTTCCACCAGGACTCTGACGGCCTGAAGTGTCCTCAGCGCAGCTGCTTTTCTGCTCCAGCTGCGAGCGGTAACTGGAAATCAGCTCCTTTATTGAGCTGCAAGAAACGTAAATCATGTGCTGGATTTCTGCTGCTCTTTTGCACGGTGATGGGGTTGCTATGGTGTGTAACCATGGTTATGGTGTTTCCATGGCTTCAGGGTAACTGGTGCTGTAAGCTGGTGATGGGAGAAAAACGCGGGAGGACTCCAGCATTCTCCTTAATCAGTTATTGTGTTTTTAGGTTTGTTTTGTAATTTTTGGTTGGGGGGTGGGGGTGCAAACCATATCCCAGAGCAGATTTAAAACATAATTTAAAACAACCTGAAAAACAGGAGCTTAAGCATGCAGCAGAGCAACTCTGAGCAAAGGTGTAAACAGTGTTTGTTCACCAGTCTCCTCTTAGAAATTCACATTTCATGAATCTTAGTGGCAGTGGGTGTGTGCACAGCTTAAACCGCCTGCATACATTTTCAGATTCGTACACTTTGACACTGTGAATCCCAGTGGGTGTGTTTCCTCTGTGGCGCTCTTTACATTCAGAGTCTGTCGCTACGAAAGGTGTCCTCCACAGATGGGTCCGGCAGCACCATGTCGGGATCGCTGAGCATGCTCAGGCCGTCCAGGCTGAGCGGCTCTATGCGCAGCTCGTCCTCCAGCGGGAAGCCTCCCTCTGAGTCGAAGCATTCGGGAACTGTGGAGAGGGCGTTGCTGATGTCCTTGGACAGATTCGGGTTGGAGTCATCTGAGAAAGAGACAACAGATGATGGTGGGTGAATCAAAACACTTCCTCTCACTGTAACGCTGACATCATTGCCAGGAATGACGGCTCTGTGCCGAGTTCAAACTCAAAATATCAACCTAAAGGAGAAAAGACAGAAACTGGCTGCTTCTAAATATTAAAGTACAGAAAGCATTGTAGATGGTGAAAAAACCCCTACTCCTATTAAATTCAGCATCTTCACATCAAAAACTAAAAATCATTAAAAAAAAACATATTTGTTTTTACCTCATTTTACTCATTTATGACAGTGGTTTTCAAACTCAGGAGTCACTGTCCTGCATCTTTTAGATATTTCCCTTCCTCCACACAATAGATGAGCAACAGGCCCCTGCAGCCATGGTAGCTTCTGAGGACGGATGGCAATCATTTCATGCAGGTGTGCTGAAGCAGACACACGTCTAAAACATGCAGGACAGTGGATCCTGTGGTTTAGGTTCACCTAAACCAGTGATTTAGGACAATAACCAGCTAACAAGGAGCTATAAATGAACTAGGAGGAAAGAAAATGCTATTAGATATTAGTATTCTACCAAATGATTCTGATGTGAACAAGAGAATCTCTTAATGAGGAACTAAGTTTATTATGATGCCCAGTTTTCCTCTAAAGCAGGCATCCCAAAGTCGGTCCTCGGGGGGCCGCTGTCCTGCAGGTTTAGAGGTTTCCCTTCTTAAGCACAGCTGGTTATGATGATTGCAGTTCAGCAAAAGCCTGTTTATCAGCTTGGACTTTAGGGAAGCTTGTTCTAAAGGATGAATATGAAGCTTCGTGTCCACAGCTAAGTATGATGGAGGCCCTGTGATGCTTTGGGCTGTGTCATGTCCAAATAACCTTTTAGAATTGGTGCCTTCATTAAATCTTTAAAATATTGGACCACTTCAAATAAAACTGGCAGAAAAATAATGAACTGGTTGTCATTAGGTGTTCGCCTGAATAACATAAGGATGCTATCTGCAGGCTTCTGTGTTAGTCTTGAGCAGCACTATTATTCCTAACACAATGGCCTCAAAGCTCTAAACTAAGTTTATTTGCACCGTTTTGCTCCTGGATCAAAGACTTTCTCCTCAATAGATCCCTGGATGGGGAAGCTCACATCTGTCCCACTGATCCTCAACACGCCGCACAGTTTGGTTCTCCGCCCACTCCTCTTCACGCTCGACTGCTCTACCATTCACACAACAAACATTTTTGTGATCTTATGATATCTAAGTATGATGAGAACCCCTAATGAGGAGGTCCACAATCTGACAAAGTAGTGCTCCAGAAACAAGCAGGAGGTCTAGGAGGACTGAACAAGCTACTCTCTTTTATTCAAGGTTAATTTTATCGATTTGTCAGAATATTCTACGTTTCTACATTATTTCCTGTGTGCATTAAGCAAACCTTTTCCTACTCATATCCTAGTGAAGTTTACCCAAAACAGAAGTTTACAGTCTTACAATCAGACCACAGAAACCTCTCATCTAGTTTTCCTTTAAAATCCTTTGTTTCCACATGAAAGACTTGAGATTTAATACTGAAGAAGTTGCACCACAGTTTAGAGAGATAAGGCAAAAGGTGTGATGTTTTCAGCATCCTGCAGCCATAACTGGATCCTCTCCAGGTAAACAATAGATTTTAAGCTTAGCAGAGTTTTCATTTGTACTGTGATCAAAGCTTTAGCTCAGGATGAAACTGTAATAAAAGCATCTGAATGGTTCGCCGAGTGTGTAAAGGATATGAATGAAAGGCAGCAGCCAAAATTTGAATGATAGCCTTTAGAGTATCAATGGTGTTTCATGAGGTTTACACTGAAGACCAAAGCGGCCAATGAAGCGTCAGACTCACCTGTGAGTATGATGTTAGGCAGTCCCCCGCTGCAGTTTGAATAGAGCATGTTGGACCTCATGTGGGAGGGCTCCTGCAGGCTGCCATGGCTGCCCCCTAGGCCTGACAGAGCTGCCTGGGAGTAATAGAGCGAGGAGGGCATTGAGGTATCATAGCAGGACCCCCCTGCTGAGGAGCTCAGAGCATTTTCCAACAGGCTGAAGTGGTCCAACTAGACGGGACAAAAAAAAAAAGAGGAAAAGGAGAGAAAACATCAGTCAGTGAGTCAGACTGGAGCCGTGGTTATCATAGCAGCTCATTCTGTGGCCCAAACAGTGTTTTACTTACAACTATGACTAAATACAATTTCAACTAGGGCTGTAACTCATGGTTATTTTGCAAATCAATTAATTTGTCAATTATTTTTTCAAATTAACCATTAATAATTGAGCAGCAAAAGATTCCTTAAAGAAGAATATTTGTGAAATTACACAAAGTGAAACTAAAACTTTTCCATTGAAGGAGTTCTGGATAGAGCATATTAACAGAAGAAAAAGATTTTTATCTTAAATGCAAAATGTTTACATTTTTATTTATTTTTTTTACAATTGTGGTATAATTGCTACTTAAAATGGGTCGCTCTGTTATCTAAGGACACGTGTTAGAGCTTCAATTGAGTCTTAAATGATTAAAAAATTTGTTGATGATTATTTCAATAATCGATAAATCATGATTAGTCCGATTAATTGTTTCAGTCCTAAATTCAACAGACAAAAACAATCAAGATATTTAACCTTGTGGCTCATTTTGTTTAGTAAAAATTGGTCTTTTTAAGTTTTAAAATCATTAGGCAGGTTATTTGTGCCATTTTCCAAACTCTCACCTGATAGGGGAGCGTCTTGTTCTGGTGATTTGAAAACTGCTGCTCCACAAACTGGTCACTGAATAGTGATGCCATGCTGTTTTGCTGCTAGAAAAGAAAACACAGAAACATTTAACATTCCTCTTATATAATTTGAATCACCGACAGGTCTGCCTGTTTTGGAAGATTTTGCACTTCACATGATTTAGAAAAATTCATTAGAATGACGTGTGTTTGTAGCAAAAACTGCTGCTGGTCTTTCAGCTGTGCATTCCACACCCCACCACTCTCATCTTTAATTATTTGGGAGATTCTGCCAAAATGGACAGTCCCTTGCATTTTTCCCTTGTTTAACATACTTACTATGATATCACCTTTTAGAGAATTCTGGATGCTTTAAAGTCTGATTTTGAGACCTCCTAAGAATTTCAACACAGGTTAACCCTTTTACAAAATTGCCTTTACCGGCTAATTCAAACAAATCTTCAACCTTCATAAGCCAGGAAACCTCTAGAAGTAAAGACCCTTCAGCCTCAACTTCTTCATACCTACAGTCTGTCTTAACTGGCCCCCTCCCACAGTTAGCAGGCTGTGGGGAGGCTGCTAACTGTGGGAATGTGAACGTGAGATGTTTACAAAAAGCTAAGAGTTGAATTTCTACTGAGTACTTGTGTCAGGTGAGACTGAGAACAGACTAATGTGGATCAGGCAATGAATATGAAATATGAAAAGGACCTTATGACCATCGTTAAGTAAGGTGAGGATGTATGATACTGTGGGCCAGACTTTATGGTGAAAAGTGCATCATGAAGAAAAAACCCTTAGGGTGCAGCTTTGAAAAACAATGGCTCTTAGAATTAACAGTTGACCTTAGTCAGATTAAAAAGGATGCTCTCCGGAGGCCTTACCTGGCTTGTGTTGAAGTCCAAAGACATGTTCTGAATAGGTGAAACAGGCTGTTGCTGCTGCTGTTGCTGCTGGTGTGTCCGGCTGTGATCTAATGAATGCTGGGGCTGCTGATAGAGAGGATAAGGTGGAGGTGGTTCCCTTGGCATGTTGCTGGTGTCTAAAGCAACTCCCTGCAGAGATTGCAAGGAGGTAAAGGTCACTACAGAAGAGCTGCAAAACTTTGGGATTAGAAGTCCATTTACTATGATTTCATTCACTTTAAACACGTAAAGACAATAAGTGCTGAATGATGTTTTATATCCAACTGCAACAATTTCTATTCCAAAGGTACAGCCATTTTTTATAGTGTCCATCTATTCATACACTGTCTACACCCGCTTAACTTTGTAGGGTTGCGGGGGAGCTTATCTCTATTTTCTGTTTTTAGGTGAAAGTCGGGGCACCCTGGATAGTCCATCACAACGAAACACAGAGAGACACAAAAGACAACCAAACCTGCACAGACATACTCATACACTCATTTATTTGGGGTGTGTGGGAGGAAGCAGATGAGCCCAGAGAAAATCCACATATTCACAGGAAGATCATGGAAACTGAAGAGATGACCTATACTGGGATTTGAACCTGGGGCCATCTTGCTAAAAGACATTTTATACTATATTCTCTTTCAGTCCAATGAAAGAGTGCCGTGAAAGCCACTGTCAGCAGTTCTGATTAGACCGACTTTTAAAATTCTGTCCTCTGGACAAATGCTATGTTTGGTAGACAAATAACACCACACCTAACGTTGAACACCTTAAACTGTGGAGGTGAGGTGGCAGAATCATCCTGTGGGATGTTTTTTCTCCATAAGGGGACATAGAGCAGGTGGGAAGAGGGATAATCCTAGAAGAAACCCTGTTAGAAGCTGCAGCAGACTGGTGACTGGGGAGGATGTTCACCTTCAGCAGTAAAACTAACCTAAACATAAACTCTAACTTTAAATCAAGGAGTGATCATGTACTGGTTTGGTTCAAAGTCCAGATCTAAATCCATTTGAGAACCTGTGGCAAGATTTGAAAATGTATGTTTCAGTCTCTACATAAATAAAGTTAGTGGAGACTTAGAATAGAAATGTAATCAATGCCCATGGCACAGAGGAGGACAAGAGATAACAAAAAAACATCCTTGAATGAGATCTCTGTTTGTGTGTGAAGTGTACCTGTGTGATTGGGGACAGCGAGGGGGACATAGTGGGGGACAACTGCTTGGACAGACCCCTGCGCTGCTCCGCTCCAGGAGACAGGGTGAGAGGGCTGATGGGAGCCGGCCGCCGGCGGGGTGAGCTGCCAGACAGGCGCATTGATGAGCTGATGGAGGGATTGCTGAGTGACGACTGGAGCTGGCAGTTGTTGAGGGATGCCTGGATGGAGGGATTACTCAAAGAGGAGGACAGACCTGCAAAGAGAAAACCCAATCAGATCCGCTTGGAAACGTATCCGACATGAAACACTAGACTTTATTGTGTGAGAAGGGAGGGAGGGGAAGATGGCGAGTGGGGTGAGAGGGAAAGGCGGGGAAAGAAAAGAGCTGATTGTCCAGAGCCAGAAAGAGGGTCGGAATTCCCGCGTCGCTTTGGTGCTCGGCCAAGCTGAACTGTTTCCGACATGAGAACCCGACAACACAGACAAAGAGGAAGGAGTGAAAAGGAGCAGCAGTGGGTGTGATGAGATCTCTGAGTGAACAAGCCAGAGACAGAGAGATCGCTCAGAGAGTTATTAATAATGTATGATCTGCTGGCCTAGAAACATGGAACATGTTTGAAATATTGCAGCAATGGTTTTCACATCTGAAAACTGAATGAAATATTCAGCTCATTAAAGCCAATAACACAGGAAGTGAACAGTGGAACAGGCCTCTCTTCAAGCAGTTAGCAGATATTTGGCCTTGGCAAACCAGCAAAAGTCAAAAACTAGAAGGAAAATCAGGAATAAAAGTTCAAGATGTGACAGAATATGGTTCATCGTCTCATCATCCACTTAGATTTTTTAATGTCATGCCTTCACCCACCTTGTGAGTTGCCGATGCCGAGGTGCATCATGGCAGCAGGGAGGTTTCCGGTGCTGCTGCCCCCGCTGAGGTTGGGGTAGCCACTGTTGTCTTCAGGGTCCAGCGGGGTGGACAGTGGTGACGGAAACTGCAGGTTGCTGAGGTCAGGCAGAGAGCCACCGGTACTCAGTGAGCCCTGGTAGTGCGACAGACAAGCGTTCTGCTCCGGGGACGGGAATATACTGTAAAACACATGACCAGGAAAATCCATTTAACTGATGAGCGACTTTGAAAAATATTAGACAGGCATCAAATGTTGTGACATTGTTATTTCAATGTAAAAGATCTTTATTTCATTGGGGTTACCTTTCACAGCTGCTCGTCTTTTTCTGTTTTTGTTTTTTTTCATTATTTGTTCCAAAATGTAATTATGCAAATTCACAATGAATCATCACAAAACTGGAACAAGGCAAAACGGTGAACAAATGCTTGCCTTCATAAAAAAAAATTGTGCTCATCAGAAGGCGTCAAATAAGCTTGAAGCCTGCTATTCTTCTCTTTTAGTTTTGATTTACGTTACCACCAACACAGCCGTGCAGATGTCCTGAATCTTTGGTAGCTCATTGGAAGAGACTGTTATATTCTCTTTGATCAAAGTATGACTCATTAATCTTAGAGACTAGTAGGGTACTATTTTATAATTACAGGGAAGCAGGCTTCTGCTGCTGAAAGGGGTATGTAAACCTTGTGAAAATATATTTCTAAATTATCTTTGTGAATTATGACATAATAGAAGAAACAGTTATTCATGCCTTTAAAATAGCTCACACAATAAAAACCTAAAAACTCTGAAATTAATTCATATTCAGCACCCTTTCATATAAATATGAAATAATTAGCGAACCATCTAAGACCTGCAACACTAACATCTGCAGGTTTTTTAGGGTCTTTACTAGCTCTGCACACCTATAGCCTTATCCTGGTTTATTCATCCCTGCCCCTGTTAAAAATTAATCCCTACCCTCAGCATTATCTGTAGCTGAGAGAAAGCGGCTGGATAAGCTGATCAGGAAGGCCAGCTCTGTTAGATAATGTCTCTCACCCCTTGCATGAAGCTATTGCAGATCTGGAGAGCTCCTTCAGTGACAGATTGTTGCACCCTAAATGCACCAGGGTGCATTATCACAGATCCTTCTTCTCAGCAGCTGTCAGACTTTATAACCATCATTGTTACCAACAACCTCAATAAGTTGTTACAATTTAGGATGATTTTTGCACAGTTTCTACTTTAGTCAGTAAAAAAACATGCTGCTGTCATTTTGCACATCTCTGATGTTGCAGCTATTTTCAAATATCCATTACTGTAAAGATGTCCGTAGCTGTATATTGGTTATTTCTTCTTCAGGTGCACAGTTTTATATTGGTAAAACACTGAACAACACAGTATTTTATAGTTTACCTTTTAAATCTTCACATTTATGTTATTGTTATACATTTTTTTCCAAAGGTCCACATTTGTTTGGCAATATTTTTTTATAATCTTTTTGCTGCTGTAAACACCAGAATTTCCCCATTGTGGCACAATAAAGGGAGTTTCTATTTTATTCTATGCAGCCACAACCATGTTTCACAATGCAGGTTGTGCAATCAGGGTGTTGTGCAGTATCAAAAATAGAATAAAAGGGATATATCTGATCAATATCATCAATTACTCTCTAGGAAATTTCGGATCCAACCAAATGAGACACGGCTCCATTCAAGACATTCATTCTGAGGTGTGCAGCCAGCTGGTAGGTGAGCAGTACTTAGAAAAAAACAACTTTGTAATAAGTTTTTGGTGCTTGTATAGAATTTTTCTCTTATTTTCATAATTCTGATTTAATAAATGCTTACACTTAAATTCGAACCCTTATATTTGAATATTTATTTTCAGGATGTGATTTGTGCAAAAAAGATTTCCTGTTTTTCTTTTCTGTTGTTACGCTTTCCCTACAATCACATATTCAAAATCATACATAGAGATCATATTGAAATTTAAAAAATGTGGATCGAAGCATCTTTCAATCCACATTTTTGCTGCTGGTAAACTTGATTTTTCCTAATGAGGAACATAAAGGATATTTTCACTCTATTCTAGTGACAACAGCTGATTTATAACCACGTAGAGCATCCATTTCTAGGACTTACTTGATTCCAGGCACTTCACATGACTTAGGTCTTGATGCCAGAGACTGGACCTGAAAAACAAACATTGCAATTATGAAAACAAGCAGTGATCATTTAAAACCACCACCGTTTGTTACTTATGGTCATACTGCAAAAGATTAAATGTAACTTTCTTAAGATTAGAAGTTATAATTAATTCTTAGGTTGCCAAAAACAGTAATGTTTTATCTATGAGCAGGTGGGTTTTTGTATTTTATTTGCTAAGCATTAGCTTTAGATGCCTCCTGTACGGCCAATACTAAATTATAACGTCTAATTATTTCTATGACACATTTACAAAACAACAGAATACTTGAACTAAATAAAAATATAAGAATACATCTTATCTAAAGATAACAACCAGCAGAAAAAAACACCTTATCTAAAATAAACAAGATGATAAATCTGACGAATGCCAGCAGGGTTCTTGAAGCATTCTAGTAAAACCTGCAGGGCTGTGGTTTCTGGATTTCACGATCAAAAGCTTTGGTCTGGGAGGAGTTATTTACAGAAGTCTTCCAGCTGGATTCAGTTTTTGTGCAGCACATGATGACTCAGAAAGGTAAGGCAAACCCTGGCAGTGAATAGAGAGAGATCAGCTGAGGAGAACTGCTGGTGATACGGTTGAGCAGTGGAAGGAGCTCTTTAAAGATCTCACCAACCGGTTTCTTTGAAGTCAGGAAAGTACCTCACGTTGTAGTCAACATTTGGGATTACAAAAATGTGTTTGGCTCAGTTTTGTTCTTGTTCAAAGTCAAACGGGAAGGACTGGTTAAGCAGGTGTGTTGGTATGTCTGTCCAGTCACAACAGGAATCTAAGGTGTTGTGATCACCTGAGCTAACCCAGGCCCTAAAGGATTGGTGAGAATACTTTACACACTGTTTCTGAAGCTGTGGCAGGTCGTACAATCTTCGCGTTTTTATGCTGACGGAACAGAGGAGGATCAAAGCAGTCAAGAATTTGTACTCAGTGTGTTTTTTAAGTTCCAGCCAAGATTAAATTCTCTCTCCTTAGAGACAAGGAAATACCAATAACAGAGAAGTGTATGATGGCGGAATAACGCTTACTATAAATCTATATTTCCTTTATTGACATTCAGGACCCTCCATCGTTTGACCTTTATTTGATCAAAATGTTAACAATTAAGGTAAATAGAATATAAAATTTCCCAATTTCCGACTTATAAAAAAAAAGTTCTCTGAGATAACGTGTAAATTGTCACTTTGTAAGTAAATTGGATTCAACTGAACTGTTTGAAGTTTTTCGTATGATGACAGAATGAAAGTTAGATCTTGTATGTAAACTAGGGCTGCAACTAACGATTATTTTGCTAATCGATTAATCTGTTCATTATTTTTTCGATTAATCGATTAATAATCAGATAGCAAAAGGTTCCACAAAGAAGATTTCTTTACGGTATTAAACCAGGGGAAACTAAAACCTTTCGACTTCTGGAGAGAGCATATTGACAGAGGAAATATATATTTTTTTCATATCTTAAATGCAAAATATATATATTTTTCACATTTTTGGTATAATTAATGCTCTAAGTGGGTCCATCTGTCAGCTAAAAGCATGTTTTAGAGTCTATACTCCAGTTTATGATTAATCGATTACTAAATTAGTTAACGATTATTTCAATAATCGATTAATCACCATTAATCCGGCTAATTTTTTTCAGCTCTAATGTAAATGTTTCTAAATCGAACCTAAACTGTATAAAACACACAGACCCAAAGCTGTGATTATCAAATAAAGTTAAAGTCTTACAGCAATATCTGAAAAAACTAAATCCAGCTTACGGTAATAAGCACTGACTCTCAGTAGTCTCTCTCTCACGATGCTTAGGGAAAGTTTGGTCCATTCCCCCTAATGGTCCTTCACTGGTTAAACACTAGATTTAGACCTAACTTTATGTTTAAAACATGCGAATATCATGACCCCTCTACCACTGTGCTGGAAAGTTGGTATGTTTTGTTTAAGCATGGTGCTGTGTATTAAGCCAAAACATCTCCACGTTCGTTTCTTTAGAGCCATTCAAACAAGCCATACTTGTTTTATCTTTCTCTTATTGTCCTTTCATAACCTTAAACATCTCCACTGGTGTCTGCATTACCTTAGATCCGCGGTTCTCAAAGTGTGTGGCGCGACCCACTGGTGGGGAATTGAGACGTGACAGGTGGGGCGCGCCAAGTTCCGGTGTGTGTGTGTGTGTGACTATAAATGTAGAACGTGTGAGAGCAAACTGTCCTTATAGCTGTATGTTGCCGCTTTTTAGACCAATCAAACACACAAAGTAATCATTACTAGTCTACATGCAGTCTAATTAAAAGAACATTAGATATGAGAAAAATTTCACCTGGAACTGAAGTGCCAAAATAATGATTGACGTGACGTCGGCATATTATTTGTAACGGAATAAACTTTCGCGCCCCAGTGTTGCCAACTCAGCGACTTTTTCGCTATATTTCAGACCCCTCCAGCGACTCTTTATCAAAAAAGCGACTAGCGACAAATCGAGGGACTTTTGGAGACTCTTACGTGAAAGCACGTATCGTTCCTTTTCTTGTCCTCCAGCGGCAGGTGCTGCCGTGGGGCGCCTCCTCTGTCCCCACCCCGTTCTCCCCCGCTATCACAGAAGTCCCTCTCAGCGCTGCAGTCAGAGACACAGCATGCAGACTGCAAATAAAGCGCACATGCGCCGGGATTGACGGCGCAGGTTGATCATAAATAACTGAATTTGAAATATTTTATCCTATCCAATTTTTATCTTATTGGAGCCACCACAGTGATCCCATGTATTAAGCAGCACCTCTCTTCCCTGAGTGGATTGTTTCAAAAATAATTCCCAAACAACAGTGCTCAGTATGCCTGGGTTATTATGGATCCATTCAATGCAGCAGGTTGGTATTTTGACATTTTATTGAATATTATACTCATATATTATACATTAATTTATTTCTGTTGTATGCTACTAGCTGGAATGGATTGTTGTCAAACTGATTTCTTTGTGTTTATTATGCATTGAAAAATAAAGTAAGTCTATTTTTTTCTATTCTGTCTGCAGCACCTGCTGATTTTAGGTCTGCTGAGGAGGACCAGTTTATTGACATGATGTCTGACTCCACCCTGAGGCTCAGGTTTAATGCTCAGACTCATAGTGAATTCTGGTTTGGAGTGGAGAGGGAGTATCCACTCATCGGGCAGAGAGCTGTGTGCATTCTTCTTCCCTTTGCCACATCATATCTCTGTGAGATGGGCTTTTCAGCTGTTGCTTCACTGAAAACAAAATACAGATCTCAGCTGAACATTGAGCATGACCTGAGAGTGGTAGTATCAAGCCTGCAACTCCGTTTTGAGAAACTGTGCAATGCGAAACAGGCTAATTGCAGCCACTAATGCAGGGATAAATAGACCTGTCTTGCCAGATGGATTTCACTTCTTTTCTTTTTTTAACAGATTGCAGATTGGCACTTTAATTTTTTTCTATCTTTGAGCTTGATACAAATTTTGACACAGCTGCATTTTTGTTTTCTTTATTTTTGAGCTTGCTGTTATTTGATGTAGATAGTTTGTATTTAGATACTACTTGTTACTTCAATAAAATTGGAACATTTTAAGATTGTTGCATATTTCATAAGCATTGTGTTGGGGCGATGGGGACAGGCGGGGCTTGAAAATCCCCCCTTGTCCAAAGTGGGGAATGACAGAAAAAGTTTGAGAACCACTGCCTTAGATGAAGCTCTTTTTTATCATGTCCCATTACATAAATGTCTAGAATTATAGAAAAAAAAAATAATTTTCTTTCTACCCTAACTGTAGCATGCAAAGTTTAAAAGAAAGAGTTTTAATATCCTCAATAATACCAAGGCTAAGCTAATGTCGGGTTCAGACTATCCAGTTATAATATAAATTAATGCTCAGTTATGGGACTGTCATCGAAGAGGTGAAACACAAAAAGAAGGACTGCTTTAATGCAAAATATCCAAAAGTTGAGCGCTTCTATCTGTACGTTTAACACAGTTTTAAAAGAGGTAAATGATTAAATCTAGGCTTTATAGAACAGAAACATTTTGGAATATTAAACTATTTCTTATTTTATACCTCACTAACCTATGCTTTATGTGGTATCTCAAACTCGCACCTTGTTTCCATTAAAGGTGCAAGAAAAACAACTCATTGAAAATTTCTCCGCTTATTAACTTAGAAGAATGCAAATACTTGTGAGAAATGTTTGTCCAATGTGTCCAACAACATTAATAACCATACACAGGTATATAAAAAGGTATAAAAAAAAAGCCGAAAAGCCTTTATTGAAACCCTCTTTCAAGATTTCTCCACTATCAAGCAAGAAATGAAGTTAGGACTTTAATTTGTAAGGTACAACCAAACAAAACTCTTGCCATGTTTTCTTATTCCTTGGCTTTAAACCCAGCCTGAGATTACCATTAATGCACAGATATGGAAATATATGGAGATATCATTCCCTACCCTTTGGGCACCATGAAAGGCTAAAAAATTAGCTGAAATTGCTTCTCTCCGTCACTCAAGCAGCCATAATCATGCATTACGGTCACTGTCACATATCCAATAAAAATATCACATGACCGGTCCCCTCACCTCTCCATAATGAAACAAAAACAGCATCTACATAGAAACTAATATTGGATTTTATTTTATTATCGCCCCAGTTGACTTACTAGATACTTAGAAATGATCAAAATTGGCCAATACTAATATTAATGCTTATACATCCTGCATCCCTGATCAATGGCTTTTGTTTGTAACAACTGACTTAGATTGTTCCTGAGAGAATATAGGACCATTTTGAAGCTTGTTTTATCCAAGCAACAGTAAAACAATCTGATGTGAAAGTGGTAAACAACGGTTAAACAGTCCTAATGTAAGGCCTCTTACCTTTTTAGCCTCCCACAGCTGCTTGGGAAGAGGTCTACTGACACCCATCAGATTCTCCTCATTTGGCAGAGTGGGAAAGGAAAAGACTGCAGAGAGAAAGGTGCAAATTAATATTAACAAAATCAGATTTATATCATTTCAGAAATGAAGACGTATGCAAAACCCACCATCTCCACTGCCATCTACATCGGCCTCATTGACACTAGCTGCATGCCAGCCTCCATGAAGAACAGACGGAGGAATAAGTGCAGGAGGGACGGGTGGTGTTGAAAAAAAAAGAAAAAGAAAACAAGAGCAGAGGACAGTTAGAGGATGTTTAATTATAACCACCTGCTTAAAAGAATGCAACTCTGTCGGACACACTAATCACCCCTCTGACAGGAGCGCTCTTTTAACATGCTCCACAATTACTGAGCAGTTTCATAACTGCAGCAGCTGGGCATCTGGCATCGCGTTATTAATCAAAGATGAGGAATTGGAGAGAACAAGATCGTCTGAACTTAAAAGAAAGATGTATAAAGAGAGAACCACTGTTTTTCTCCTCTAACAAAGACAACCATTCTTCCTCTTTACAGTAGGTTAGAAATGCTCATGCCTTTTCTTTTTGTCACTGCTTTTTTATTTGGTTTGTTCTGCTGTTACAAAATGAGAATGTCCTTTTTTTTTTCTTTTAAGCTTTCTTCTAAGTCTTAATCAGGAGCTGCTTCTTTGATCACTAACACACCATATTCTTCTCCTTCCATGAAATCAATCTTACTGAGGCTCTTTCATTTTCAGAGACATCTTTTTCTGCCTGTCTCAAATGGGACAATGAGGCGATACAACACTCTGGCCCCATTACACCCCCACCCCCCCTTCCAACCATGTTTATTCACTGTTGCTCACACTCTCAACTAGGACGGAAGCGAGACAACTGAGATGGAAAATGGCTGGCTTGTATCCTTGGCAGAAGCGAACTCAATATGGAGGTTGCAAATGATAAGATTGAAAAAAAAAAAAAATTTAATAAATAAAAAAATAAATAAATATATTGTCTGAATCCAAAGCAGAGACGAAGCAACAGCCTGAAAGCTGCAGGGCGAGCGTTAGATCTCCGCTCACTGATGATGCTCTTTTCCCAGAGGCAACAACCAGCAGATAGAAATCTTTATAAAAAAAAAAAAAAAAACAACTAAAAAAACAATATAAAACATGCAAAAAAAACCCAAAAAAAAAACAATAAACAGAGTGCAGCAGAACTCCTCTGCTCCAAGTATTTCCACCCGGCGGCTGACTCATTGCCGTAATTCCTAGCTAGATGCTTCTTTAATCAGCCAGGGCTTAACACCACTCAAAACCTACTGAAACCTTGAGGTGTCAATGAGACCCTGGGGCCCCAGCGCTCTGCAGGCTCATAGATGCAGCCATGAGGCAGTGCTGCTCACTCTCTCTCTCTCTCTCTAACAAAAGCTGCTTTTGTGTTCAGGCCTCTTTAAGAGAAAACTTCTCCCACAGAAATGGATGTGTTTAGAAACGATACTTTCTGCGGCAGCAGATGTAGGAGGATACATAGATTTATATAACAGAATATCCTTTCTAGCAGGATGCAGCAAAAAAAAAAATCTAAATCCATTAATGGCCAAACTTTTTTTTTTAAACAGGGTAACAAGAAACAACTTCTAAGAGGAAAGGTAATGAACATTTATATTGTTTACTGTAGACAAGAAAAGCAGGGAAACCATGACATCAGCTAGAAATGCTTTAAAGTCTTAGGGAAATGGCTGTTCCAACGGTTGCATTTCAGAATTCTCCCGAGTGGTGCCTGAACTTACACGAGTGAATAAAGTAAATGTGGTTGGTCGTTTAACAAGGGGGTGGGATTGTTGTGGCGGAAGGTTCACAAGCAAGTTTGGTTGTGGCCGGTTCGTCAGAAGCATCTTGTGACCAGTTAGCAACTTAGTGCTAGTAGGTTCCCAATGGGAAATTACATTGAGACCAAGTGCCCCTTAGCAATGACACTATCAAGGAATGCTATGGACAGCGGAAACATGCAAGAGGAGAGTTTTGTGTTGGAGATCATACATTTTTTATTTAGAGGAGGAAAGTGGGAACGAAAATGTTTAGAAGAGGACGCCAGGGCGGCAGAAGCTTGGTTTGGTGTAGAAGGCTTACAGCCGCACGTTTGAGCCCTTGCCTCGCAACGCTGCCAGTTCTGTTAGCTCTACACCTGCCGAAGACACAGACGTCCATCCCCGTGAACACTGGGATGGAACTCAATGGTAAGCTAAATGGTTCTCATTTCTTATTTCAACCGTTGTGTATATTAGCTGTGACATATGAATCAAGATGTTATGATGGAAAAAAATTGGATTGACAGATGACCCTTTTTTGGTCGAATTTAGTTGTACACTCTGATTCAGAAATAAATGGACCAGCCTTAAAGGAACTGTGCTTATTATTTATTTACACTTAATTTATTAAACAGTTATGGTCAGAAGCTAACATAAAGCTTCATGATATTATCTCTTTCATCCATTTCTTTGAGATGAAAGTCTTGGTCTAGAGAGAGACTGCAACAAAGACAGCAGAAGGATTTTTATTTTAATATTTATATCAACTTTGAGTTTTGGATCACTTTCCTCTGGGAACACCAGTTTGTGTCCTTCTTTCTACCTTTTATCAATTGATTTAAGAAGAAATTTATGTATTTCAAGGTAATCCTGTTTCTTCATTGTTGCATCTCTAATGTACTTGCAACAATATCAGCAAACAGAATACCAGAGCATCATGCTACCACCATCATATTTGGAATCTTGCAAACTGTTCTTAGGTTTCTAATCTTCACAATGGGTTCAACCATTTATCTAAGTTAAAAAGAGGCTGGTGAGTCTCTCTAGCAGTCATTGGATGAGGCGTTGGGTACGTGCTGGACAGGTCTCCTGACCAACAAGGAGACATACAAATACTGAAACCTTAGGCAATTCAGGAAGCCACTTTAGGATCCTTAGGTCACAATTAAAACACAGTAGCAGTCCAAACAAATTCTTCTCCATGCAACAAATCAGAATAACATTTATCATCTTAGATTATCTTTCTATATATATATATATATATATATATATATATATATATATATATATATATATATATATATATATATATATATATATATGCAGACACTGTCAAAAGTGGACCCATACTGGATTGTCTCATAAGGCAATGGTCGAAACACATCAGGTTTCAACCTCAACACAAATTAAAATACTAATAGGCATAAGTATTTAAAAATAACAGCATTTGGAAAGTTCACAGATGTGAACTTGATCAACTTTTTAAAAATAATGATGCAAAGCACCAGCATATATCAGCAAATACTCTGATGTCTGATGCAATATTGATTTGATAAAGTCTGTCATTAAAAACAAAAGAGAAAACTTGTGCAAACAAAAAATAAGTAGCTTCAAGTTTATCATTCGTGAAAGTACATTTCTGACCTTAGCAGAAAATCATAACAGATTTTTTTCCTGCTCTTTTTTTGTATTTCACTAGTGAAATGTTGCCTTTTATATCTATCTCTATGTGAGGTTAGCCTATTTTTTTTATATTGTACGTCAGAAAAAGTCTATTCTAGAACTATACTTTGAAGATTTATACAAATTCTATGTTTCTGAATCTATTGTATAAATACAGATAAGAAAAAAGAAAACATATTCTTCAAGCTAAACTTGAGCAAAAATAACAAAATAACCACACTGGGCCAGTTGATGGCAGTAGAGTCAGTATTAACAATTCAATAGATTAAAAACCCTTCAGGATGTCCATTAACTAGCTACCTTTGTTTGTTAAACAACAACACTATGTCCTGTTTTTTGTATCACTGACTGCTTCAACTGCAGCATATGCTATGTAACAGTGACAGACCTGTACTTCCACTCGGTTCTAAGGTCACCCATTCATGTTCGAATCTGTGATTCATCTCTTTGAACACCTTTAATTGAGGCTGTGTGAGAATTTAATTCTTAAGGTAATACCTTGTTTCAATGTGCTGGCTTCATGCGGAACTAAAAGTAATCAAACACAGGATTACAAAGGAAACTGAAAGAGAAAAACTTAAAGGTGTTGACGTGAAATACAGAAAAATCCTTAGTTTTCAGGGTTAAATATCTGGAGTTTGGCAAAGAACTAAAGGGTGAAAAGGAATTTTCAAACAAAGATGAAAAATGGCCTTTGGAGAAGTAAGGAGCTGAAGAAAGAGAAGGTGAACTAATGAGCAGCTGCCTGGATGGACTGTGTTCTCTGTTAATCAGTGACCAGAAGAACAGAAACACAAACACCATAAAGTGGGATGATAACAACTATGAGAGCCTGTAAGGAGCTGCTTGGAAAATGTATGCGAGTGGATCTCTAAATAAGTCTCTTTGATTTTCAGGGTTATAAATTGAATAGGTGGCAAAATTTCTCCACAACAATATTAATCTTCCTCAGCAGATCCCCGTCTTCTGTCTGTGCTTTTGTGTGACCCACTGATAACATTCCACCTTCTCTTTCATGGTAGAACATGCAGTATCTGCGCTGCCCGTCATAGTCCTTCACACTCATTCAAAGAAAAGACAAAACACACCTAAAGTTTGTTTCAGAGCCGGAAACAGCAAACTCTTGCAAGGCTAAATGTCTTCTGGTTCAGCTATACTTCAGCCAACTGTTCAAATATATCCTTCATTTTGCTAGCCTGATAAGCCAGACTAAATGTGAGATTAAATGTGTAATTTAGTCTGTACCCGATGAATGAGACATTGGAAGATTGTTGATGAGAACAACCAGTTGTCTTTCAAACCGCTGTCTGTGTCTACTGGCCAACGCTCTGACCAATGAGCGCAATGGACTGTGACATAGGAAGCGTGACAGAAAGCTGGTGGGGAAGTGTAAACAAACAGTCTGTCGGTAAAACGGCGAATACTTCCTTCTTAAAAATTAATGAGCATAGAGCCTCTTCCTGCTCACGTTTCCATGAAAACCCCAAGTCTATTCCTTCCAAAACTGATTACAAAGCTGAGTCAAAACAGAACTGTTCAATAGTTGTTGCCATCTTGGTTGTTGTGCTTTCTCCAATGTTGCGCAGCTTTGTCGTCCCGCCCTCAAAACCCCGCCTGCTTTGCATCCAAAAATTCAAAACACATCTTTGCGTTGTGATTGGCCCGCCAGTTCTAGGGCCTGTGGCATTGATCGAGGCTAGACTAACTCGCAGGCAAAAATTATTTTGGCTGCTGGCAGGTGGGGCTAGTTTACTAGGCTACCATTTTGCTGCTTTCCTCAAACTTTCTACATTTCTCTGCAAGTTTTACAGCATTCTAAACATTTGGCTTAATTACATTACATAGCTGAGCTTTATCATTTGCATGTAACAAAAATCAGACAAAATACTAAGATGGACTGATAAAGGATTATTTATCTTTAAGGTAATGTAAAAAAAACAAAAACAAAACTACAATTAACTATATTGAAAAGAAATCAGTTTTTTGGCAAAAGCAGGTCATTTAAAGAACAGTTTATAATGCCTGATTCCTTTAATCTGTAAAAATCTCTAAAGCATTTATATCTATACTCTATATAGAACATAATATTGTACACTGAAAAAAGATGACTGGTTAATGGAAAAGTTAAATTTTTTTATTTAATAATTTAATTTCTTTAATTTGGCTGCAGTACAAATGATTGTTAAGGTTCCACAATAAATAAAAGGGAACAGGTAATGTCCATGAATCTGTTTAGGGTATTTGGGCAGTCTAAGTCTATGTCAGGACTAGAGCTAATTTTTTTCTGCCAACAAAGGTATGAATTTTTTGTCTGTGCTGAAACAGAAATTCTTGTAATGTGAAGGCAGTAAATTATATACCTAAAATAAAAATTAAGGAAGAGATCTGATTCATGCTGCTCACATTTCACAGGGTCATTACAGCTAAATAATTTTAATGAAAGCATCAAACAGCGGAAATAAAGAAAAAGTGTGTGTCTGTTACTCTCACCATTGCGCTGTGGAGGACCTCGACCCATCTGCTGGTTCATGCCAAACGGGTCCTGAGGGTTTGGGTTCATAGCACTCGTATGCAGAGCAGAGTCCGAGTTGGTTCTGAGTAGGAGGAAAAGGAGGAGGAAGAGGAGAGTTATGCAGAGTATTCTAGCACCTTGGACAGAGGCAGGAGGGTTCCTTAAGGCCGTAAGGGTCAATGAATCACTCTGCTTCCTGCTCTGTCTCCACGCAGGCAGCATTTCACTGCAGGCCAACGCTGACCTTACACTTACACCCTCACAGGATCAAGCTAACCGAGCAGCACTTTGTGATGCAAACACAAACTGTCTCTGTGATGAAATACTCCCCTTAAAGCAGAACATGTTTTTTTTTCCCCATTTGTTTTCAAATCTTAACTGATAACCTTATGTTATCTCGGTCATCAAGATTAATTATCATTAGTCCAGCTTAGAAAGTTATTAAAAATCATTTTTAGGAGCTTTTTCAGGAGAAACATTTCAAAAAATTGGACCCAATCCATTACATTTTTCTTCCTATACTTTCCAACTGATCAGCTGGCCCTTCTTTAAATATTATACTTATCTTAATATGTTTTGTTAGAACCTTAACTCAGACACAAGCAATAAGCAAATATTTTGTATTTATTTATTAAGTATTTTATATTTAAAAATATACTTTTAGAAAAGTTCACATACTAGAGCTGGTCTCCATCCAGACTGAAAAAACTAAACAGCTTTACATAAACTTAAAGGTGCCTTTTAGTCGGTCCACCTTCTGTTCTCTATGAACAGTGAGGGAAAGCACCTGGTAAATCAACATTAAAAAAACGCCACGGAACCAAACTTTCCCAGAGGTTTGAAGTTACCGCAGGATCGCAAAATGGTTCCTGGGCTTATGTTCCAGGTAGTTCTACTAGTCCAACCCATGATTAAAAGGAAGAACCAGAGCTGGTCCATGATTCAGTGTCAATACATTTTGTAATATAATTTTCGTCAATAATAGTGACATCTTTAAAAAGATTTCTGGTAATTCAAAATACATTAGAGTCTATGATTGAAGCAATCATTACTGATATAATTTCAGGGCGCATCTGATTTAAGACAAGCAAAAGTGCTGCAAGATCCCATGCCAGGGGGAGTGGAGGGCATGGGATCAGAGATTGCATGAATTATTGAAGAATAGATTTGACTTTAAAAAAAAACCAATACCAAAAACGCATACATGGTCAGTTATTGCCGCTGGTACATCAGCTGTTGCCGTAGCTTAGGGTGGCCAGATGTCCTCTTTTTCCCGGACATGTCCTACTTTTCAGACCAAACAAAATGTCTGGGGGGAATTTCAAAATCATCTGCGACCTACGCATGCGCAAGAATGATCATTCAGTGCTTGAAGAACCGCCTCTGGCGGTCATCGATGATTCATAGAACCATAGTTACATGAGTAACTTTTGTTTTTTAGGCAATATAAGCAAGCGGCTCAAGCCATTTTGTCATAAATGTTGGCAAATAATGTTTTTTAATATAATGAAAGTGAATAAATCAGATTTTACGATTTTAAAACAACTATTTAAAAAAAAAAAAAAAAAAAACATATCCACTGTTGTTGCTTGTAGCACAGAGATAGCGGACATGTCAGTCCCTCTTCTTTTACTAGTAATATCTGGATGTCCAGTTCCCAGGGATAATCACTGTTTTTTTTATACCAATAACTTCGCTATCAGGTGAATGAGTGGTCCAAATGCAACAGAAAATCTGAACTTTTCAGGGCTTCTACTGTATGAACACAATAACTTTACATTTACTTTTTTTAACCAGTTTCCAGATGTTGATAAGTAGATCAGTAAATATAGCTGAGAGATTTTACCTTTCTACTTGTGTCTGTTGAAGATTCAAACAAGTATAAACCTTTGCACAGATTTTTTAATTTAGGTTTTTCCTGTGTTTAAAAATAAGTTCCTTGAAACTGGAAATAAGTTTTGCAAATTAATGTTTTTTGAGTTATTAGTTATGAATTCAAGTATGGGAAAAAAAATGTTTTTGTTGAAGATTTTAAATTACACAATTATTGCAATACCTTTAAATGTTAGACAAATTCTTAAAAATGTTATTATATCACAAATAACCTTAAATGTGATACCTAACTGAGAAGTTTTATGTGTAATTAAAATATTTATGTTTTACAGTAAAAATGATACTGCTTGTCAAGTAAAGAAGGAATTCTTAAGCGTAAAACATTACATCGAATTAATATAAGTCTCATAAAACATGACGGATGCGTTTTAAACATAAAAAAATCTTATCATTCACTTTCACATAAAGCCCAGAACAACAAATACAGTTGAAATAAAATAAAAAATGCTGAAAGAGAGAAAATATTAATAAAGAAGCCTTTGTGTTAAGCTGTGTGGGCCAAGAGTCCTAAAGCATGGTTAGTAAGAGAAAAAAGATTATTGTTTCAGAAAGAACAGATTAAAAAGATGATTACAAAAAACTAAAAAGAGGAGAAAACATAAATCCATTGTTACACACTGAGACTTGTGGATGTCTACATTAATGCACCCAAGAAAGAAGAGGATTATTGAGATGATAAAAATCAGATGGAGATTTACACGAGACAAACCCAGCAAATTACAAAGCCAGAAGAGATTGCAAACTTACAAACATGACAACTGTTGGTCTGTGTGAGCAAGAGGAAAGGCGATAAACTAAGGAAAAAAAGAGAGATTGGAGGGACGAAGGGGGTCATGGGTCACCTGTTGAGCTGTGATATTAATCTAAACCCCGGCCGTTTTTCCTCAGTCCATGGCTGTTGTTCCCTTTGAAGAAAGAGGAAAACCAGGACAGACACAATTATTGGGTGAAAGAGGAGAGCCCTGATAAGAATTAGAACATGTTGGTGTTTGGAGAGAAAGATGACAGGAGAAAAACCCTGGAAAATATATAACATAACCATCTCTTGTTAGAAAAAACAAACACACACAAAAATATATTCACAGGACTGTTACAAATTATGAAGAATAAGATGTGGAGCTCTAACGAGAGCAAGGCCCTTTGATCTCAGTTTAAGATCATCCTCAATTTCCTAATTTAGAAAAAACAAAGCAAAAAACACAACAAAACATAAGAACAAAATACAAATGCAGAAACTTCTCAAATGACCAATGAGGTGAATTATATGAAACCAGACTGGTTGATGTGGTCAGTCCGAGTGAAAGATGGAAATATAGCTAGAGCAGCAGTTGTAATATTTATAAAACAAAAATAAAAAGGGGCTTAAACTAGGGCAGGGAAATCGGTTGCATTGGCAGTCTGATCACATTTTGAAATGCATTTTCTAAATAGCAGAGGAACTCCATATTGTTTTTGCTCTATTTAATCAGAATAACATATTATTTCACTCCAGCCATCAAGGTGGCGGTAATACACTTAAAGTCGCTTTGATAATACACAGAAGGAAAGGGAAAGTTGCATCTAGCATGCAGATCAATGCATGGAGCTGGAAGTGAGCACTTTTTCCTTGAACAGTGAAGCCCTTCAACAAAACTTTGGATAAATGAATATTCGCAACTTTGATGTTTTGGCCAAACAACACAACGCTAGTTTTAACCTTTACGAGCTAAATATTGCAACTAGTAATTGCTGCTCTTATTTTGAGACTGAAAATCAAACTATTTAAGATCAATTGACTTCACCAACAGCTGTACAAATGACAGTGGTAACCAGCAATGTGCAGCTTTAACCAGGATGTTATTCTCCAACAATATGCCTAAAAACTAATTTTGAGTTGATCTTTAGTAGAATTAATTACTGCAATTGCATCTTCTTAATCCTCCCTTAAATGCTGAGCAAAATGCTCCTGTGCCACATCCTCGCAAAAACTAAGAAAGTAGATCAAACCATCCCAGATCTAAAGCCCTAACACTCAGAGACTAGACTTTGACATATTTCCCTTACTCTATAAATCACTGGACTAAAATACATTACAGCCTTGTCTAATTTTTATACCAAAAACCAAACATGGAAAAACAGCTTTTAGTTATTACTCTGCCCTAATTTGAAACAAACCCTTAGAACACTGCATAATTGCTTAAAGCCCAATGTTCCTTTAAATCAAGGTCGAAAGACCCATATGTTTGGTATTGCCATTGACTGTTCTATTTAAACCGTTCAATAAGAATTTATTAGTTTAAGTTTTTGGTCATACTTTTCTTTACCTGCCACTATTATGCCACTACATTGTACTTTCCTTTTGTGTCTTCTTTTCTTGTACATAACTTTTTCTGTACATGAACTCTGCTTTTTCTTATCACTGAAGCTTCATCTGGCCTGGTGCACTGTTTAGATGTGATAGAATCCTGGAGGAAGGCATCAGCAGCCTGCTGCTGTCGACTTTTTATGATGGAGTTTTTCTGTTTTTAGTCCTGTTTCTCTCCCTGACATATTTACAGACTCAGCTTCTACGAGACTGACTATATGTGCTTCATTACATCCCTTGACCAGAAAATTGGCTCATCTGTTTAACTGTTTCTTAGAAGAAGCCTCCATTGGAGCTGGTTTTACCTTTTCTAACAAAGAAATCATTTATGGATCAGTGCTCTATGTGAATTTTGTGTGTCTGCTTCTGCCTTTGTGAACCCCATGTTGGCCTTGGCAGAATGCTGCTCAAACAAAGCCTTGTTCTGCTGCAAGTTCCTTCCTGTTCAAAGGGAGCTTCTCCTCTCCAGTCGCCGCAGGCATGCATGCTCTTGGGGAGGGATTGCTGCAAAGTCAATGACCATATAAGCAAATTTCAACTGTCACCACATGCGTATCCAGGAAGAGCGAATCCTGCATAATCAACGACTGGTTGTAGACAACTACATTTTCTTAGATAGAAAACTTTTAACTTGATTAAATGGTCTCAGAAGAATCCATTAAGACAGACACTTTGATGTGCCTTTTTATACCCTTTTTTTTGGCTGGGATAGTGGAAACCAATCAAAACCATGGATAAACAAGCACTGGCTCTAGTTTTGGTCCAAAATCATTTCAAGAAAACTAAAACCCAGCTGAACCTTTGCAGTTTATTAAACATCCCCACATATTGAAAAGAAAATATCTGAATACAGACAATTTAGTTTATGAAAAAAATGGATTCAGTTTATTTACAAGCAGACAAACAAGAAAAAAAAACCTAAACCAGAAGTAACACAAACCCACCAGAGAGCACAAAGGACATAAAACAGGCTAACTGCAAAACAGATTGTGACTAAAACTGGTATAAAGAAAATTGTCTAAGCCTCTTTGCTGGAGCTTGAAACACAAGTTTTTAATCACAATAAGAAAATCTCTGCGGGTATAAGAAGTTAGCATGGTGACTTTTATGTTATTATCAACAACAGCGATGTAGGACAACCAAGCAGGATTAACCAGTTTTTGCCCTTGGGGTGAAAACGAACCCATAAGGATCCTTCTGAACCCACTAGTCTGCACCACAGCATGTACATAGAAAACGTTGTTTCAAGTAGAAAACAGGAGGAATGTCAAATATTAAGTAGTTTCTGGGTTTACAGGTTTCTGTCAGAATATAGAGCTGTTAAATAGTATTTCCTGCTTTAAGAATTTCTTCTACTTTTGCTTGTTTATTAAACTTCAAACTATGAATGTCAAGCTTGTGTTAGCATAAGATATAGATCATGTGAACACACACGAGAAATCCAGCTTGGAATTTGGATTTCATTTAAGTATAAAAATCTATGCAAACCAACCTGGTCATCATGTTCAATGTTTCTGCACTTACAGCCAAACACTGATGGACTTTCTAATTTAAAATCATATGTGAGAGAGCAGAACTTATGGTACCAGAAATTACAGCAGAACTCCACCATTCTATCACCTCCATGTATGTTGTTCTTTGGCTGAAATGCTGCTAGCTTTACACCAGATATAAAAGGTGCTGCATTAGGCACTGTGGGTCCCATGCAATGGAAAAAACCTTGTGTTCTTTTTGTTTGGCAGTGGTTTTGGAGCTATCCCAAGAAAGCTCCATCTTTATTTCTTGCAGTTGAATCTTGGACTCTGATCTTCACTGAGGTAAGTGAGGTGTGAAGAGCTATAGGTTTGCTGAAGAACAGTCAGAGTGATTTTGGTAGGCCGGCCATGCCTAGGAAGTTTCACCAATGTTTCATGTTTTTCCTTTTTTTGAATAGCGATTGTCACTGGATTTGTATCAAATGGCTTTGCAGCCCAATTAGGACCAATGATGCTGAGGACTCTTTTTTCTTTTTTATTGCTGAACTTTCGCTAACATGAATGTAGTTTGAGTTTTGCCTTCTGAGATCTTTTAATTTAATGTACTCAGACCAATTCCACTTTTCTTGTTTCTGTTACTCAGGGTGTTGATACAGTTTTTTTTTCCAAAGCATGGCTAATCACTATAAGTTCATGGTTTAACATGAAGAGCAATAGTTTTTTCTATAAAAGGCCAGGGTATATAAGAACCTTTTTTCTCTTGATACCGGTAGATAAAATCATTCATTAGAAACTGCTTTATGCGTCTACTTAAAGTATCTTTGTTGAACATAAAAATGTGCTAAATGGTCTAAAGCATCATATTGAAATCTTTGGCTTTAAGAATGGGATTTCAAGGAAGTTCATATGCAATTCATAGAAAGTGAACACATACTTTCTGCAATATGGTATACTTTTTCACAGTACTGTGCAGTCATGCACTTGGCTTTGGGCTCTTTCTTTCAAGTAGAGTTGTAGCTGCAACTTTCTATGAGTGACTTTGCAAGACAAGGCAAGTTTATTTATATATCTCATTTCAGTATCTAGACAAATCAAAGTACTGTTCATTAAAGTGATAAGTATATTGCAAGATAATCAAAGAAGAATGTAAGGACTGACATTTCATTAGATCATTGATGCTGATTTTATTTTTTTATCTTACTAAAGTCAGCACCAGTGTATCTGGAATCTACTTTTACAGAGGAAGTAAATGCGCTTCAGTGCAAAACTGAAATTATTGTATCTGTTAAGCCAAGTGATTGATTTGTTGCAGTTAAGGCAGGATTTTTTGGAAGATTTTGAAGAGGAGCCTTTACTTTCATTATCACTATGACAACAAACACATTTTGCTTCAGATCTAATGCATCTCGGTCTATTGGCAGATATGCTCCATGTTTGTTTTTTGCAAACTGGTTAAATTGCAAAGATTTGGAGGTCAGAGCTAAATCACTTTTAAGAAGACACTTTACCTGGTGTCTTCTGTTTTTTTTATGCTCCATGACATTTGCTGAGCATTTGAAAAACAAAGCATGCAAAATACAAAACCCTCTCTGTGTGTCAAATTACCTGGCTAAGGGATGGTCATCACTGTAGGCTCTGCACTCAATACTTATATTTAGATATATGACGCAGGTTATGGAATGCACAGTAGATGTGACACTCCCAGCTTGACGACAAACCTCCAAGCCTAACTCACAAAAGGTTTCCGTGTAGATATTTCATCATTTATTTTCAAAAAAGGATCAGCCCTCTTCAACCAAGCACTCTTTATTTTAGACATTTGTTGAAGTCACATGGAATCTCTGATTTAAAAGGTTGTGGCTTTACAGTGTAGAATGTCTTTGGTTTTAAATTATCAGTATATCCTTTCAATAATCAACTAAAATGGCATCCAGAAATGTAAGCACATCATAATCTGAAGAGAGAGTGTTGGAAAAGTTTCAGATAATTCTGCTGGAAGGCCTCTCCGTTTTTGGGTTCTCCAGGGAGTGCGGGCTGCAAGTTTATCCCCAGAGAGGTTGGTACAAGAACAGCAGGCCAAAGATGG